AGGCTGTTTCAGGAAAGAAATAGGGTACCTTTTCTAATTTACATTTTGGAATTACATAATTGTATTCTTTAAAAATACCTACTTACGCAGCTTTCTATCTTATTCCCAGGAGGAATGCAAGCACACACAAATGCCACTCCCTCAACACACACACACACACACACACACACACACACACACAACACAGAGTTATATTTTTAAACTTACACAAAGATAGGTTAAAAGTAAGTAATCATTGATAAATATTATATCTGTGACTACTTTACTCATCAAACTTGCCTAAGAATCCCTTTAATTTAAAATAAAAATGTTAACTCACAAGCCGATGGCTGTTTTCCAGACTCATGGATTCAAGTTCAGCAAACAATCTCATTTTTAATTTTTGTATGCCAAACGAGTTTCTGATGAGAATATATCGATTTATCAGATTTTTGATATTTGTGGCTGGAAATTAACCTTACTACTGTGATTTTAAAATGTTTATTTTCTGCTTATAAATTTCTGCCTACAAATTTCATAAAGGTGCTATTTATTCCTTAATAATTGATTTTCAAAACTTTTACACATTTTCTAGTACTCTGACCTTAGCCAGAGTTATTTATCTCTCCCTCTGGGTCAATTTTCTCTTCTGTAAAATTTAAATCAACTGTACTTCAATTTTAAAAAGTCGAAATGAATTGTCATTATCTCCTTCCATCTGTAGTATTTTAGATTCCACATTCAAGTTAATGATCATCTGATAATATGTTGTCATATGCATAAAAACTATTATTTTCTAAGTAACTGTCTTAGATACTGGGATAAACGCTTTGTATTATCTTTTTTAACCTTGACAACAAATATATAAGGTATTATACAAATTAAATAGTGCAGGGACAAAAATGTTAAAAAAAATAGGTTCAATAACATATACAATATAAAATTTAGAAGCCCTACATTTAATGCCAAGACCAGGCCCTTTAACACTATCCTATACTGAAATTGTTGCTTGTGTTCTAAGGACAAATTGTACTTCAAAATTTAAAGTTAAGTATAAGAAATCCATTTTGCCCCCAGTTAACCTTCATTATTCTTGGGTAGAATTACAAGCAAAATGTTTCTTTTCTTTTCTGTTTTTCTCTCTACCTATATTCAGTGTTGCAGGATTCCCAGCCTCCCTTTTTAAATAAGTACCTAACCCCCACAAAACTGGAGACTGTTGGTGACTGGCTATCTGGAGACATCCAGGAAATTCTCTGTATTCCACACATAGTACTTCCTGTTCTCATTGCCTGGCAGGCTGAAAGCCAATTTCCACTTGGTGCTTGGAATCTATCACCACAGCCATTATAGCAGCTCCTTTCTCTATCCTGTTTCATTGGCATGAGATGCCCAAAGTAGCCAAGTAGTAAATTTCACCTTCCAGTTCAATGTGAATATTACATCATGTTGTGGAAACATTCTCAGGCAGACCTAAAGTTTCAGGGAGAGGAATAAGAAAATTATGTCAGTGGATCTTTAGGCATATTAGTGAGAAGGGCCATTTCTGCACCTTGATTCCCAGATCTAAGTATTCTGACTGTAGGAAAAATAGACCCATGTAGAGTGGTCACCACCTCAAAGCTTAGTGCATATTTTGTAAACTAGCACCACAGACTTTCAGGGTGTTGTCTTTCAGATGGTATCGTAAATAAGTGTTAGCACATATTTTTTAAAATGATACTGATTTATTTAACTGAGTAATTCTAAACTGGATCATATAATTCCCCGATTACATCAAACTTGGTAGGGCTAAATTACCTCATATACTGATTACATTTGGCATTTATGGCATAGGTACCGGTTAAGTATACAATATGAACCAAAATATTGTGTGCTTCATGAAACCATCAACTGGTCATATTCCACCTCTAAACTCAACGTGCCATACATCCTCTGAGAAGTGTCTTCTCCGAAGTATCAAAAGGACAGTCATTGGTGGAATGAGGCAATCATACCACCCTGTGTCTGCCTTCAAACTAATCAGGTTCCACTGCCACTTTCTTTAAAGGCATTCCATCCAATTTATATTCAGTGTAGATGAAAGAGCAAATCAAATCTATTTCAGGTATGTGGTTGCAATCTGCTACCCGTCATGCACAGACAGCTATCTTAGCGATGTGTCATCTTGATTCATACTCACACGAGCTATAGGTGACTGGCTATTCAGCAGTTTCTACCCTGTGCAAATCAAAGGTAATCTCCCTCCTAGATTATTAGAAAAAGAAACAAATTAGTAAATATAGCCCAGAAATTATAAAGCAAATAATAAGTCTGAATTGCCTATCAGTTGAGTTAACAGAGGATTCTGTGTCAAATCTTTTCTTCAGATTATTCAGATTGTCTTTAGGCTGAGGCTGTAAATCTTCAGGAGTCCTATTTCCTTTTTGTCAGCATCCACTGTCCATCAACAACAGATTGGGAGAAATGCCTAAGGGTGTTATTTTCTTGCTCAGGGACACTGTCATTGAAATAAAGTTACTACATTCCTTCTATTTCCCAAATGTTTATAATCTAGCTTTTGTGCCTTCTTCCCACTCACTACAGTCTCTTTCCATGTCTACTTATTACCTGTTTTAGCCCATACCCTTCCTCCCCTGGTGGCATTTGCTTGCTTAGAGAACAGACAGGTGCATCATTTTCATCAGGGCTTCCTCTTCAGCCTGATCTTAGGAAGATATATAAGATAATAGGAAAGTAATTGGAGTCATGATCCTGCCACTTAGTAACATGGCCATAGTCAAATATATTTCTAACTATATAACTACATGGAGAAGTTGTAATCTACCCTGATATCCCCTAGCTATACATGCATCAGTCAAATTTAGTAGTATGGATGCCATGTCCTTTAGATTGGTATCTCTCTCTAATGTTGATAAATCATATGATATTAAAAAAGTGTTGGGAGGTGGAAAGTTTATAAAGTTGTATTGTGTGGATGTAGCTTTCCCCACCCTGTCACCCGAAATTCTAAAAACATTTCCAGTGGAATCTTATCTATACTGCCTTTCATTTGTGAAAACATGCATTTAGGCAGCCATTCAAGCCTTTTCTACCACTTACTTTAAATCGCGAATATTTAATTGTCTCTTTCGTATTTAGTGAGACCAATTGGGCCAATGTTCTGCAGGTGATAAGGACTGTGGTATTTCTATGTAATAGTGTGTTACCTTGCCTGTGTACACTTGATTTCGTATTCTAGTAACAATAAAGTACATACTTTGATCACGGGAAATACATGCTTGTGAGCAAACTGATAGACCATTTGCAGCTACAGTCCTTTAATTATGCTCACTACAGTTGATTCTGTTACAGAATAAGGAAAACCTAGAACAGAATAGCTGTCAATTCAAGTCAACACCCAGTTGTAACCCCCTCAGGGCTACTAGCAGGGTCCAATGTAGCCTCCTTGCCAGCTAGTAGCAGATACTTTTCCTCTGGGAATTTTGTCTAAGGCTGTATTCAGGCAATTTCTTTCCCACTGATAAGAAAGTACTCAGTTACCCCACATTTGTTACTTGAACATGTGGAAGCAAATGTGTAATCATTTGACCCAACTTTGCATTTAAATTCACTTCTTTCATGAACCCAGATCTGAACCGACTTCTAGGGATCTTACTTAAGCAGTAGTTTAAGTATTCCAGTCCATCTCCGAGCTGGCTACCAGGTTTTATTGATGAATCTTCATGAGTCACCTCAATTTCTCTCTAAATTTCCATAAATATTCCCTAAATTGAGTGTATGCATATGGAGAGTCTCTTATTGCATAATCATATAGGGCCCATTTCTTTAACCATATTACTAGCCTAGTTATGGCTTTAGGATCTATAAATGTCTAACTTCCCCCCTGCCGCAAGGACACTAGCCTAACTTGAATTTCTGAACAGTAGCTCCCAGCTCCACTGATGGTGTGAAGTTGCCCTTATTCTCTTCCACTAGGCGTGTTACCTTCCTTTCCCAGAGTTTTACAATCTGTAGGATATTTTATATCTCATTTTCAAATAGCAAGAAAACAAAAACAAAAACAAAAAACAAAAAAGCATACATCTTGTTTTCCTTTGGTTTGGAAAGAATCAACAGAATTCAAACCAGCTAGCAGTGGCTGTGGGAAGATCCTTGGAGGGATCTGTCATTAAACATACAGGCAGAGAAGCATACTATATATGTGTGGTTTCAACTCCCTGAACTCATCTGGACCCTTACAGTGCATTTTCCTGATTATATCATTTTTGCTTATTGAGTAAGATCTGCTGAGCAGGTCTTTTTGTATCCTTATGTTGCTCTAGCATTACCAAAGACATGATAGCTATGTTGGGGCTGAACATATGTTCAGACCTGATATATGTCTATAGTATAATCTTAACTAATACCTGGTAGCAAGCTACCAATTGTCTTTTAAAAGGTATCCATTGAGGACCTGTATCAGGCAGTGTTGTCCAAAAATTCAATAATCTCTGTCTGTATTTAGCTATAGACACTTGTAAAACCACTTGAGTAACTGAATTAAATGAGTCAAGTGGTGCTGCCTGAGCAATAGCTGTTTTGAATATTTTTAATTAAAAAAAATTTTAGTGAAGTGTGATTTACATGCAGTGAACTGCACGTATTGGAAGTGTACCATATGATACATTTTGATAGATGTAGACACCTGTGAAAACAACACTACAATGAATATAACAACCATATCAATCATCCTTGGAAGTTCTTATGCCCCTTTGTAAATTCTTCCCAATGCTCCTCCATCTCCTACTCCACACAACCACTGATCTTCTGTCTGTCATGATAGATTAGTTTGAAATTTATAGAATTTTATATAAATGAAACCACAAAGTGAATATTTACTTTTGTCCATCCTCTTTCACTAAACATAATTATTTAGTGATTCATCTGTTTTATGTGTTAAAAGCTCATTACTTTTTATTGCTGACTAATATTCCATTACATGTACATATCACGGTTTTATCCATCTTGCTTGTTTATAGGTTTTGGTGATTATCAATAGAACTGCTATCAACATTCAGGTCAAGGCTTTTGTGTGAGCGTAAATTAACAACGCACTGAGAATGGGATGGCTGAGTTATGCGGTAAGTTTATGTTTAACTTTATAAGAAACTGTTAAATTCTTTTCTAAAGTGGTAGGACTTCGTTTCATTCATACAGGCAAAATTAGAAGAATCTATGTCCTCCATATCATTATAGCATTAAATATATATTTTTTTATTTTAGCCATTTTAACAGATGTGTGTAGTTTTACATTGTGGTTTTAGTTTCTATTTCCCTAATGATACTTCGTGTGTTTATTTATTATCTTTATATCTTCTTTGGTTAAGCATGTGTTCACAACATTTACTGGTTTAAAAGCTTTTATTTATTATTGCATTTGAAAAGATTGATGTATTTTGGATAAAAGACCTTTATCAGATATATAATTTTCAAATATTTTCTCTTTATCTGTGACTCGTCTTTTCATTCTTTTAACAGTATCTTGTAAGAGCAGAAGATTTTAATTCTTCTGGGTCTAATTTATCAATTTAGTCTTCTATGGATTATGCTTTTGGTGCTAAATATCTCTGCAAAATATTTAAAATATTTGCCTAACCAAAGTCAGAAAGGTTTTCTCCTATGTTTTCTTCTAGAAATTTTATAGTGTTGTGTTTTATAGTTAGGTCTGTGATCTAGTTTCAGTTAATTTTTGTTCATTGTTGTGTGGTATAGATTAAAAAAATTTTTTTTCTAGATATGGATATCCAATTGTTTTAGTACCCTTTGTTGAAAAGTGATAACTTCTCCTTGGAATTGCCTTTGCACTTCTGTTGAACATGAATTTTCCATGTAATACTGGCCTGTTACTCGATTCTCCACGGTCTTGATGAACCGGGTTGTCTATCATTATGCTGATACTGCTTTGTCTTAATTGTTGCAGCTGTATAGTGAGTCTAGAAAACAGTGTTACTGCTCCAGTTCCATTGTTTTTCAAAGTTGTTTTGACTAATCGAGGTCCTTTGCATTTCCATATGAATTTTAGAATCAGTTTTTCAATTTCTACAATGAAGGTTGCTGGAATTTTGATGAGATGGTGTTGAAATTATAAATCTATTTGAAAGAATTGACATCTTAACAACACTGAGTGTCTGAGCATAGTGTATCTCACCACCTATTTAGGTCTTCTTTAATTGCAGTCAGCACTGTTTTGTAGATTTCAGTGTATAAATCTTTTGTATGTTTTTTCAGGTTTACCCCTAAATTTTTCCATATGTGTTTGTACTAATGCAGTATTTACTTTAATTTTGTTACATTTGCTTATTGCTTATAATAAGTAATATGATTGATTTTTGTACATTGATCTTGTATCTTGAATTTTTGCTTAACTAATTCATTCATTTTAGAAAGTTTTTAGTAGATTATGTCAGAGTTTCTACATAGACAATAATATCATCTATGAATATATTCCCTTTTAGAAACACAATTTTTTTTCCCTTTGTCTCATTAAACCTGTTAGAACCTCCAGTATATTGCTGAATTTGTGAGAGTGGAAATTCTTCTTTATTTGTGATTTGGAGGAAAATATTCATTCTTTCATAATTAAGTGTAACATTAGCATATAGTAGCATTAGTATTGATCACAATTAAGTTGAGTAAGTTCCTTTTTCATGGTTTGCTGAGAGCTTTTTCTTTGTTTATTGGTTTGGCCTATTGGTAATATAATGAGTTCCATTAATTGATTTTCAAATATAAAACCAAATTGGACTCTTGGGATAAATACACTTGGTCTTGATGTATTATGGTGTTAAAATGTTGTTGGATTCAATTTGACAAAACTTTTACAAATTTTACATCTTTGTTTAAGAGGGACACTGGCCATTAGTTTACTTTTCTTCTGAGGTCTTTGACTTTATCATTGGCCTCAAAGAGAGTTGGGAAACATTTCTTTATTTTTTTTCAGTTTTCTGGATATTTGATTATTGTTCTATTTCTTCCCTAAAGATTTGGTAGTCTATCAGTAAAACCATATAATCCTAGAATTATTTTTGTGTGTGTGGGAAGGTTTTTAATTACAAGTACAATTTCTTTAATAGATATAGTTCTAGTCAAATCTGTAGACCCTTTACAATGTCGCATCTTTTGCTTGATATTTATAATTTGTTTTCTCTGTTTCTCTTTTATCTATTTATTTTTATTATGCTGGCTAATGGTTTGTCAATTTTATTGGTCTTCTCAAAGAATCAACTTTTGGTTTCATTTATTTTCTCTGTAGGTTTTTGTCTTTTATGTTTCATTGATTTCCACTCTGACCTTTATTACTCTCTTACTTCTACTTACTTTAGGTTTCATTTGCTCTTTGTTTTCCAGTTTCTCAAAGTGGAAGCTCTGGCCACTAATTGAATCACACTTTTTTTCTATTCACAAATGTCCTTAATGGAATCTAGAATGGTGGATCTTTCCAGAATTTTTTCAATTTAATCTGCTCATATCTATCAGGGGAATCATTATCTATGGCAGCTTTAGCTGTATAAAAATGTATTTCTTAAAACAATCAGATTTGAAGGTCAAAATTAATCCTTGATCCATGTGAAAATAATCCCCCCCAAAACTGAGTTTCCATGCTGAGTTTATGATTAACCTGTTTATTAATATATTAATATATATTAATATAACTTTATTTCCTTTCTTGTATCATTCCCTTACCCCTCATGATTGAGAAGTATCAAAGAAAAAATGGGGGCCAAAACCAAGCAGGACCCTGAGGCAGTCCTGGATGCAAGCTCCTCTGTGTCTCTGCTTCTTGTTTGTAGAAAAAGTTTTAGTCTCCTAGGCCTCCCCCACGTTCCAAAGAGCAGACTTAAACAGTTGATAATTAGAGAAATGGAAAATGCAGAAACAAAAGAAAGCAGTTAAGAAAGAAAAGCAATAATAGCTGAGCAGTCGAGTCACTGGACTCCTTGTTCTTCCTGAAGGGATATAGGTAACAATGTGATGCATATCTTTGAGTTGTTATGTAGAAACTAAAACCTCCACACAGTGGAGGATGGTGACTGCATGCTGACTGCAAGTATGTAGACCCCAGACTGATTGGAATCAGGTTGATAATTAAGATTCCTGAAACATAATCCTGCTACTTCATCATCAACCAATCAGAAGAATATCCACAAGCTGGTCATGCATCCTGCAACCCTCACCCCTAATGTTGCCTTTAAAAATCCTTGTCTGAAAGCCATTTGGGAATTGGGGTCTTTTGAGCACTAGCTACCCTTTCTCCTTGTTTGGTGCCATGCAAATAAATGCTGTACTTTCCTTCATCACAACCTAGTGTCAGTAGATTGGCTTTGTTATACATCAGGCAAGTGGACCAAGTTCAGTTTGGTAACACATGAGCTGAAGAATGGATGTTATGTTAGCGGGCATGAAAACAACATTAATCTCATTGTACATCTCCATCTGAGCTCCTGGGTGACCAGGTGCATTGTCAACAAACAGTAATATTTTGAAAGGAATCTTTTTTTCCCCCTAAGCAGTAGGTCTCAGTAGTGGCCTTAAAATACTCAGTAAAGCATTTTGAAAACAGATGTGCTGTCATCTAGACTATATTGTTCCATTTATAGCAGAGGCAGAATAGATTTAGCATTATTTTTAAGTGCCTTAGGTTTGTTGGAATGGGAAATGAGTATTGTTGGTGAGAATATAAAGAAAAGAAAACCCTAGTACATTGTTGGTGGGAATGTAGATTGGTGCAACCACTATGGAAAATAGTATGGAGGCTCCTCAAAACACTAAAAACAAAACTACCATATGATCCAGCAATTCCACTCCTGTATATATACGAGAAGAAAGCTAAAACACTAATTCAAAAAGATACAGGCACTCCAGAGTTCATAGCAGCATTATTTACAATTGTCAAGATATGGAAGTAACATAAGTGTCCATTTACAAATGAATGGGTAAATAAGATGTGATGTGTATATATACAATGGAATATTGCTCAGCCATGAAAAGAATGAAATTTTGCCATTTGTAATAGCATGAGTGGACCTAGAGGGTATTATAAAAACAAGTCAGAGAAAGACAAATGCTCCATGTTATCACTTATATGTGGAATCTAAAAAGTAAAACCAATGAATGTATGTAACCAAACAGAAACAGACACAGATATAGAGAAGAAACTAGTGGTTACCAATGGGTCAAAGGAAGGGGGTAGGGGTAAGATGGGGTAGGGGATAGAAGCTACTATGTATAAGATAAATAAGCAACAAGGATATATTGCATAGCACAGGGAAATATAGCCATTATTTTGCAAAAACTTTAAATGGATTATAATGTAGAAAATATCGAATCACTATTGTATACATGAAACTAATGTAGAAAAATTATACTTCAATTAAAAATGAAATTGTAAATCCCTTTGTTTTTTTTACTATTTTTGGTTTATGTTTATTTTTCTTAGCTTTTCTCATTTCTATATACATCTGTATTACTCACTACATTTACTACAGCATCAGTTCTCTATTAAAATCCCCATATTTTTATTTTCAATTTTATGTGGTTTATTTTATCCCTTTATTTATTATATCATGTCTTCTCATATTTAGTTTTCAGATTTCTTTCCTGAAATCTTGTAATGTGTTTATGTTTTTAATGATAAAATTGCTTTAATGATAAAGCAATTATTATTTTTAAAAACATTCAATTCTTGACAAAATGCTTGAACCCTCTTTCTTACTTGGTGGCAATGTGTTTCTTGTAAATTTTTCATCTCAGTCAGTAGGTTTCTGCTGTTAATTTCCTCACTTATTTATAAAGTGTATTTATTGATCTATGCCACTTTTTTCTTTCTTTTTATTTATCTTTAAGTGATCTAGAGTTTTCAGAAAGTGATATTTGCTGGAAATTTCTGACATAAGTGGGTAAAAATGAGAAGCATCATAGTTTTTCAGACCAGCTGATTTTCAAAACCCAGAGGTTCTGTTTATCTCTACTAACATAAAGATACACTTCTTCATGCAAATGTAGCTCCTCTCTTTTGAACCAGGCAAGATCTAGGGAAGCTATCCCTGCCAGCTCTTCTAAGTCAGGTTCCCACT